TGGAACCCCAACCTAGAGCTGAAACTCCAGAGTTTACGTTTAAGGATCATTGCCTGGAACCTAGGGACATAAGTCCTGGGAGGTTTCTGCACAGGGGAGGCAGCCTGTGACCCACTATGGCACTGGAGCTAAGCCAAAACATGCAAAAAAGTTAAAATAAAATAAAACCGAAAGCCAAAATCCTAAGCTGTGTGCAAGACAATTACATCCAACCCTGTTTGAATATTTTCCTCCTCCTATTTATAGCTTCTTCCCTTTTATTAAAGCTTCCAGTAACGTTACATTGCACGGCTTTGGGGGAATGTGTTTACTTCTGCCTGCTCTGATACATCCTTCCACAAAGGGCAGTAAGTTCCTGGGTTTGACCAGGAAAACAGAAGCAACTTCCCAGCAGGGTTCATGGAGTCAGTAAATAGAGGCAGTTCCAGTGAGTCAGTGCTACTCAGGGAAGCTCAAAGAGAGAGGCTGAAGGGAGAAGGCCATCCAGGTCTTTTGTTTTCACTAAGCCATCGCAGAGACCTCCATGGCCATATCCACCATGGGATAAGCACCAACTGCCAGGAGACCTGGGTTGTAACCCTAGCTCTGCTCCTGTGTCCCTCTATGACTTTGAACACATCACTTAACTGCTGTGAGACTTAATTTCCCCACCACTAAACAGAGTGGATGGGTTAGATAATCTAGAAGGCATCTTCCAGCATTCCTTGTCTCTCCAATACACTCGTACTCTATATTAATCTGATGGGTGAGGTTATGCTGCAGTAGCAAAAAAAAAAAAAAAAAGTCTCAGTATTTCCCAAAACTTAGATTCTTATTGCTTTCTGTAAAGCCAGTTGCAGGTTTGGGCAACTCTCCTGAGCAATTGCCTTCTATGTAGTAACTCACTCTTCCAGGCTACACAGGCTTCACCTACATTCGTACCATCTGGAACACATGGTTTCACTGATAACATGCAGGTAAAGAGGGTGACTAGAGAATCATACATGGCTTTTCACTGACTCAGCTCACACGTGACATACATCGCTTCCACTCAGTTTACCTCAGCCAGAATGAGTCACCTCCCAGCCTGATTCCTGGTGTTAGGGGAGGAGGGGCAGGAGAAGAGGTTGAGATGTGGAAATTTCCATGTTTTCAGAAGAGGAGAAGAATTGATAATATTGATGAATGCTAGTGACGTCTACATACGGCCCCCACTGAAGATAAAGAGATTAGTAATCTTACAAGACATTTTTATTCTTCCAGCTGCTTCATAAGCAGTTCTGACAGTGTTTTGAGGTCAGGAGAGAAGATATTACTATCTCCATTTTACCAATGAGGAAACGCGCTCAGAAAGGTTTTGAAACATATGAATGTCACAGAGTTGCCTAATGTCTGGGACGGGACTATATTCTGAGTCTCTGTGCTTCCTAATGATTTAAAGAACACCAGAGTGTATATCAAAAGACCTGCAGTGGAATCCTGATCATTCATTACATTGACCTGCAACTTCCTTGAGCCTTCAACTTTCGTATGTACATTAGAGCTCAGAGTTTCCTTGGGACGATTAAATAAGATAATAGAGCAAAGCAAATATTAAGTGAACAATACAATTTGTCCATTAAATGACACCATGGGATCGACAAACTGTTCAAAGACACAAGCTATATATTCTTACATTCAGAAGACCCTGCACCCAGAAATACTCAACTAATGTTATAAATTAAACAGAAGCAGAGGTATTTTTATTGGAATTCATCAATATGGAGACTATGACTTCTCTGGGGGTTGGGCAGGTGTTACATTTTTCCCAGTACCTACTAAAGTACCTAGAAGGGAGGAAAAGCTTAAAGCACAAGATTATAAAAACTAGATGAAGTCTACACTAGACATGTAATAAGAGCTTAATTAGTATTATGCATTGTGGTTACTCGGGTTTTTTAGTTGTTGTTGTTTTCCTTTTGTGTCATGGAAGGAAGTGAGAGGGGAAATCAGAGGGAGGTTGGAAAAGAAATGTTATGGACTGAATATTTATGTCCTCCCAACCCACATTCATATGTTAAATCTAATTCCCAGTGTGGTGGAATTTGGAGATGGAGCCTTTGAAGGTCATTAGATCACTAGGGTAGAGCCTTCTTGAATGAGATCAGTGCTTCTAGGAGAAGAGGCCAGATAGCTAGCTCGCTCCCCTTCTGCCACGTGAGGACGCAATGAGAAGTCAGCCATCTGCAAACTGGAGAAGGGTTCTGGCCAGAGCCCAAGCATGCTGGCACCTGACCTGGGACTGCCAACCTCCAGAACTGTGAGAAATCAGTCTCTGCTGTCTCTAAGCCACCCAGTCTATGGTACTTCTTTATAGCAGTGGGAACTAAGACAAGAGAGAACATTCATTCACCATCTCAGAACAGGGGATTCTAAACCATTAAGGACAGGAAAAGGCATAGCTATTAATGTACAGGAATCTTTGATCATGTTTCTTAGCATAAAAAAATGCAAGGTAAGAAAGTAAATTCCTACAGCTCAGAGAGCAAAACCGTGCCCCATATTGAACAGGGCACAGGGACTGCAAGGAGAAGAAAGACAGAGTTGTGCGGGGGTGTGTGTGTGTGTGTGTGTGTGTGTGTGTTTTCTCCCTTTGTGCCCTCCTCCACATCATGAATGGAGGCTGCTGTGGGCTCAAAGCTTGTCATCTTAGTCAAGGACCAAATCCCAACTTTATAAAGTCGCCGTAATGATTCAGTGCTGTGGGGCCGTGGGCTCCTTCAAACAAGTGACCTTGGCTGGTTATCTCCATGGTAACAGCTCACATCCCAAACTGTTCCTTCCTGTGTGGGAGGAAACATTTCAGAAATGGGGAAAAGCAGAAATGAACAGTGGTTTTTCTCTCTTATGACCCTTCTCCTTTGGCAAATTGTGTCCTTTCCCTGAATGTTGCAGTCTCCCAAGGAAACCGTGCACAGAAGAGGTGGTTTCAGCCACTTCATTTGCGGATGTATGCCCAGGACACATTTTAAAAAGTAGAAACCTGAAGCTGCTTTTCCTTTAGTTTCTCTTAATTTCTATGCAGCACTCAGTACTTCTCAGGATGCTTCACCATTCTTTTTGTTAGCAGCTCCCCAAAGAGGAAGACCACCATATCTTCCTCACTTTGAAACAGAGAGCCTGCAGGTCAGAGAGGATGAGGACCTCCCTCAGAGCTCCGGAGCAATGCAGCATCCTCTACTGAACCCTCATTTCCACCCCACCTTCCTGCGGTCCCACCCCTGCCTGAGCCACCACCCTGGTCAATCAGCTGCCATGTCTCCCTCCAGCCCTAGACTCCGCCCCCTGTCACATGACCCCTGATGCTCCCTGTGATTTCCTCCAGCTGGGTGTCTAGTTTCTGGGTGAGACAATTAAGCAAATGTATGCTCAAAACCTAGAGTATTCGCTGTGTTGTCAGCTCAATGTTCTGTCCATTCCGCAATGTCTGGAATCAGAGCAGTTTTTCACAGGATGATAAATGACCCTTCTTCAGCTGAGCCCTGAAAGTGCATGCCTGACCACAAACCCCTCCAACTGCTTCTCTCAAATGTACCATGGGGTCTCCTTTCCAACCAGAATCTCAGGCCAAGAGCACTCACTCCTTGGCCCAACTTCATCCTTTCCCGGTAGTTTTGATCCCATGATTCTGCCCGTGAAAGAAATCTTTTTCTCTGCAGCATCCCTGCCGGACTTTGACGTACAAAGGTGTAATTAGAACAGCATGGAGCAAGCAGGACAATCCATTTACCTCATCCTTAACATTTAAGTGCTTTAAAATATGGTTCTAATATCCTAGGTGCACAGGGCCAAATTCCCTTCTCAGTTCTCACATGCATGAGTAAATCCACACAGGCTAAACCCCTTGGGCCTTAGGTTCTGCTTAGAAGTTTTTTGTTTTGTTTTTTTTTAAGAAAATAAATATTCCATTAAAACGACATAGTGTACTCTGCATATTTTTAGGACAATTAGAGTTTAGAATTCCCTCTTCTTCCGCCCATGGTAAAAGTTTTTCCTTAACTATTTACTCACCAAGAATGACATTAATCTGGGATAAACTGAAGGTTTTCCTTGTCTTCTAAAATAATCTCCTCATCTGACATTGTCAAAGTGCCAACCGGTAGAGTGAGACCCTGGATCTGCTTTGGGAAGAATCCAGGCCCTCGTGTACCTCTGCCAGATAAACCCTTCAGGGAGACAATTATTTGTGAACCTAACCAAATATTTACTTCAAACAGAAAAGCCAAACTCACAGGAAACAAAGAAACAGAGAAGGTCACTCTCTACCGTCTGCTTAATTCAAAATGGGTCATCGGTGTGGGTAATTTTTCCTTAGTGCTTCTGCCCGTGTAAATAAAATCCAAAAGGAGACAGACTGGCTGTGCTCAGTCTGCAGGCCAGAGCTACAGCAAGACCAAGGGGAGGAGCCTAGACAGTCAGTCTTCACGTGGGGGTGATGGGGACAGTCCCACAGGGAGGGCCACCCTCAACTCGTGGCCTGTGTGCTTGGATATGTTCATGAGTTTGTATAGACAGAAATCTCCCTCCCCACTATGTACAAGTGTCTATGAGTGTATATACAACATGGATATACAGAAGCTCCCTGTCCATTTGTCTGTGCAGCTGCAGCCACGTGTGGTTATTATCTGCCTAGCCAACGTGTAAATCAAATGTTTCCTTGCAGCCAAATTTGGAGCAACATCTTTGTAATAATTGCTATATCACTGCATATTCAAGTTCAAGGACCCCCATGGCCACTAAATTTAAAAAGAGAAGTGGTTGTAAGACCGATCTGCAGTTTGTTTTTATTCATTGCAAATCATAGCAAAGAAAGGAAAAGCCCAGCCCTGCTCACTCCATGATTCAGGCAGAAAAAAGATGTGCCCTCGTACGAGTCTGACTTGGAAGATGGCCCAGTTCAGAGATGGCTTGGAAAATGTGTCTGGGATGTCTTAGAAATCAGGAATTATAGTGAAGAATCAAAGAAAGAACTCGTAACTTCCTAGGGCAAATGTGTTTGTTTATTTAAATTAAAAATATTGTGAAAATTACAAACTGTTAAATACAGACCATTTTATACAACTTAATAGAATAAGAAGGAAGTATATACATCACTTTTTAATAGGCGCAGATCGACTTGCACCAAACTTCAGGATTAAGCAATGGAAAATGTGACAGCGCACATGTCCGTCGCAGCAAAGTTTCAGAATTCAAGTGATTCCAGGCAAGGGGCCAAACTCAGCTTGGCTTCTTTCACCTTAAACAGCCCCCTTTGGAGTAAATCCACACTCTGAATTTTAAAGTGAACCGAGGGCCCTTTTTCCCCAAAAACATAAATTTCCTCTAAGGCGAACCGATAAACCAGCTCCTACACTGTTAACCCTTCCATGGGAACAGTAGTTATTGCTGTCTCCAATCCAGGGAGAGCGTGTTTTAAAAAAAAAAAAAGTTTTTATGTTTTTACTAGAATTAAATTTGACCTTTTGGTGTGTTTTTCTTTCTCCTTGTCTTCAGGGGCCTAAAGAGTCTGCTACAAAGCGACTGACCACAGGAATACATGGAGACATTAGCAAGCATTCCTGAGCTATTTCTCTTACATGTCTTTTTCCCTTAACTGGCGGGTTAATAGTCCACCACCCAGAGAACTTTGCAGCGTGAAATGTGGTATCTGCCTTTTTGGTTCACTGCTGGGAAAATGACAGCAGGGGTGGGCAGGGAATTCGCCTTGGATTTCCCCTTTACATGTGTTCTGAGCCTCCAACTGCTCCTTTAAATAAGCAGAGCCTTTTGCAGACTTGCTGGCCAAGGGGGAAATATTTTGTCCAAGCTTCCTCACACCAGGCCATGCAGGATTTATCACAGAGTCTTAAAATCTACAGACATCCTCCCAGCCCCTTGGGGATCCAGATCATCAGGAGTCTCAGGAAAGCGGTAAGCCTTTGGATGGCATGCCCAGGACCACACAGCGAAGCAGAGCTGGGACTCGGGTTCAAGAAACACAGAACTTGGACCCTGGCTCTGCTCAGTCTCACCGGAGCATGCCCTTCTAAGTCTCAGCTACGTGACGAAATTCCATGTCGTCAAGGCCCACATTATGTCCTCTCCCAGCTCAGAAAACTAGGCTGGGAAAAAAAGCAGCAGCAGGGCTAACGGTTTGGCTTTGTTCAACCCCACCCCCGCCCCTTCGGGAAAGATCGGGAAGATTCCCTGCATGGCCATTCGAAGTGCAGGTTAGATTCTTAGGGAAACCCCTCCAAGCACACACACACACACAAAAGGCATGCCAGCATGTGATGCTGGATGCCCCCAGATCAGAGTTCAAGGCCACAGGTTAGACAAAGGGTCAAAATAGCAGATTGCGTCTTAGAATCCCAGCCAATGCTAATAGGTTTTAAAGTTGCATTTTTTTTCTTACAGTATGCAAATAGACCAGGTTCAGATCTCCAGCTTTCTCCCATCAGAAGTCCTCCATCAAATATCCCCCCTCTAACCCAAAAGACGTGTAAGAGAAGCTCTGTAACCCGCGGTGAGCTAATGCCACAGGTTCACGTTAGAGGTACTTACAGCCAATCAGATCTAGAAGAACAAAGCTCTAGGCAAATTAGCAAATCGAAACTAGTCCCTCGGCATGCCCTCGGCACTTGGCAGCCCCGGGAGTGGGCAGCCGCTTCGGGAGCTACCCAGGGCATCCAGTGAGAAAACAACCACCGGCACATCGACCTGCCGGATTCTGAACAGGAACCCCGACCCCCAGGCTCCCCCAAGGAAAGGTACACACTGCACGTCTTCGGGGCTTTTTCGGTGGCAGGTCCACGCCACAGTCCACACCTCATGGACTCGGGCTGCTGCTCCCGTTTAGCCGTGTCCCCCACCGTCCCCCATTCAGGGGCTTGCCGAGGGTCTCTGGAAAGTGGCAGCTGCACTGCAAAAGTGAAACCAGACACGGAAAGTGTCCTTCCTCTCTCTAAGGGTGCTGGCTGATGGGGCCACCTCCAGAGGTCAGAGGGGTGCTAGGAATTCTGATGCAGGTTCTCCGAGGACCCCTCGCTGCTTTCGTTGAGGGGGGTCTCCGAAGCCTCCTCCAGCTCGTCATCCGCCCCCTCCTCCTGGATGGTGAGGCGCACGTCGGGCGAGGAGGACTCGGAGCTCACGCTGTCCCCTTCCATGGAGCAGAGCGTGCAGGACAGGGCCGGCGCCACGCTCTCCTGCAGCACGTTGAGCATCGCGGGCACCTGCACCGACCTCAGGCCCGACACCACGGGCAGCGGCTTCATGGCCTCCCCCCAGAGCCTCTCCTCGTCCTTGTACAGCAGCAGGAGGCTGGATTTCTTCTCCTGCCTTTTGGATTTCATGTAGCCCAGCATGATTCCAATCAAGAAAATGCCGTAAAAGGACATGACGACCAGAACGTAGAAGTACTCGTTGCCGTTGGCGTGGCGGCTGGCGCTGCCGGGCACATGGGACTCGAGGGGACCGCTGGGGGCTGCCGTGCTGGCGTGCGTGCTGTTCAGAGGTTCCATTCTCAGCATTGAAGCTCTGCTCACACAGACGGGATCTGGGGAGAAACGTGCAGGTTAGAACTCTTCCGGGGGCCACCGTCCCGGGGGGAAGGCGAGCACCGAGTTCTCGGAACTGCAACATCCAAGAAGCTTGTAACCGCGTGGAAATACAGTCGTAAGAGGTTCCAGCAAACAGCTAAGGGGGGTTAGCCATGAGGGGCCGGAGTGCAGCGGGGAGCGGGCAAGGGGAGGAGGGAGGGGAGTGAGGAGGGCTTTTATTTTGTCGTCTGTCCATGCCCATTATATTTTCATTTCATAAAGTCAGCCTATAAAAAGCTTTTGTAATTTTAAAAGGAAAAGGGAAAAAATCACTATAGGACAAAGGCACATAGAGAAAGTGAATATCATTTTAATCACTAGGAAACTTTTTTTAATCGAGCAGAAAAAGAAAAGAAAGTTTACATTTTGCTTCTCAAACGTAAACTTATTTTTAATTCAAACTAACATTGCCTTAGGGAGGGGGAAAAAAGGAAAAGAAAAGAAAATCGCATCTACACATTGCTAGAAATATCCTTCTTTCAAATGTGTCTGAAGAAAAGCAGCACTGCTCACTTACCAAGGGCTGGCAAATTTGTCCCGAGTCCTGAATTCCTAAATCGCCAAGCCCGAGAGCCTTCTTCCTCCGTGTGGGGCTCAGCGCTCTGACAGCTCGGCTGCTGCACTTGGGATATATAGTCAAGAAATACATCGTCACGTGTTCTGGGAGGAAAATTTACAACAGAGGTTGGTCGTGGCAGAGTGAACAGTGAACTCACAGCACTGCAGTTCAACTCACTGAACTTTGCAGCTGTGAAAAGAAAAAGACTGGGAAGCGGGAACTGCTTCTCACCCGTCAGCACCAAGCCAAGGTTTTCAGGTGGCCATGAAAAAGGAGAAAAGAATGTGCCCAGTTGGAACTGTTCCCCTGAAGTCCAGTCTCACTGAAAATTAGTTCATACTCCATCTCCCTCTTGAGGAATAATCTGGATGTCTCTACAGGCTTTCAGAGACTGAGAGATACCATAATCCAGATAAAAGACAGTTGGAAGGCAGTGCAGGATTTACTGTCAAGGAACTAGGGCTAAAGTTTCAGCTCTTCCACTGACTATGCAAATGTAATAAATCCTCACTGAATCTTTCTGCACCTCGGATTCCTGATCTGTAAAATTGCTGGATGCGACAGAGAGGGGCTTCCATATGCAGAATTATATGAACGGTGTGAGCTTTTGAGTTTCTGTCGGCGTCATCATTCTAAGACTTAAGGCTGGAGAGTGTGGATGAGCCCTTTAAAGACACAGAGAGATCTCCCTATCTTCTGCATCATAATCTTATAATGCTCATCAATCTATATTTTTACAATAAAGAAACATGTATCTTCCAGATGCTTTTCAATCGTCTGTGTGAAGTAGAAACCGGTTGCAGTGCAAGAAACTTCACGTGGGCAAATTTTACTCCAATTCTCTGGCACGAAACTACTCCTCCGTAGCATCACACAGAGATCTTTCTCACATCTCTTCACTGTCAGGGGAGGAGCAGGTTGGGGGAGGAGCAGGAATTCTGGTGAGCAACTGAGCACAGTTCACACTTTGAAAAAACCTAGTAGACCCTGTGTTAGAAATGGTCATGGGGCTCAAAATCGAAAAAAAGAATTGAAGACTTTGATGTTGGTCCATCTGCTCCCTGGGTTGCTTATTCTTTGAGGATGTCATCCTAAGTTGAAGTAAACTAGGAGTGATGCTCTGCCTCCAGTTGTCTGTGGCCTGTGAATCCTGAAGGCGTTCTTCCTCAGCTATGCCTGCAGTGGTTTGCTGGGGACACGAGAACAAGACAGACCTGTGAGATCGATGTCTGTTGATGGCTGATGCCAGTATTGTTGATTATGTACCTAGGGACGGACGGATGGGATTAGTAATCACCCGGGGATGAACAGACAACGCAAACTAGAAGTTTTGAGGGAGCAGAAAGGAGGTGGGGAAAGGGGTTACCAGACTTAAGGAGCAAAAAAATGTGAAGCCTGGTACCAGGAAGCCAAACAGAGGCTGAACTTTCAAACAAGATAAATCTTCAAAACCAGGCTGACAGTCCCAAGACATGGATGACTCTGGAATGATGTCCAAAGGATAAAACAATTCGAGGACATAGGAAGAACAAAATTCATTACGGGTGTAAGGGAGGGAACAACCCAAATGAAACTCTGCTGGGTGCCTTCTAAGTGTCCCTGCTTCCGCTGGGACCCCGTGCTGACTCCGTGCCTGTGTTTCTCCCACAGTTAAGTGAAATGATGCGTGTAAAGCACTTACCACCACATCTGGTAGTCTGTGCTTTCTGTTGTCATTGCTGAAGGTGCCCTGTTGCTACCAAGGGCTTCAGGTGGCTCCCTGATGGGCATGTGCCTGTCTCTGTATTTTTCATCGTTGCTCTTGTCTCTCCCACCAAGAATGGAATTTAAGATGTAGTGCTGGCAAACTCAAAACACAAAGCCCAATCTTCTCTCCAGCCCTCATTCATATCAACATGCTGAGAACTATGGCAGTGAGTAATGGTATAAATAGCATTCTCTCCCTGACAGAGGGCACGAATGGAAACACACGAGAGTTATGGGTTACGTCTACTTTCTACCACAGTATCCAGAGACAGCAACGTTAAAGAAACAAACCCATTTACAAATATGTCCTCCTAGTCTGTGGCTTGCATTTCTATTTTTTAATAGTGTCTTCTGAAGAGCAAATATTTCTTAAGCTCAACCTATCAAAATTTTTTTAGAGTTTGTGTTTTCTGTGTCCTAAAAAAAATTTGTCTAACCCAAGGTCATAAAGATTTTCTCTTATTTTTCTCTTTGAAGTTTTATAGCTTTAGCTCTTACATTTAGGTCTATGATCCATTTCAAGTTAATTTTTCAAGTTAATATAAGGCAAAGTATAGATCAAAGTTTATTTTCCTTTTTGCATATGGATGTCCAATTGCTCCAGCACCATTGGTTGCAAAGACTATCCTCTTCCCATTGAATTATTTTGGAATCTTTGTTAAAAATCAGTTTACAATTGGTCTGTTTCTGAGCTCGTTAATCTGTTCTTTGAATCTGTCTGTCTATCCTTGATTCAATGTCATGCTCCTTTGATAAATCCATTCCGAACTGGCATTTTTAATGAGCAGGCCATCCCTGAGTGTCTGTTATGTACCAGGCACTGGGAGAGGCTTCCTTCTGTCCTGTGTGGTATCACCAGAACCATTCCATATATAAGGAAACTGAAGGTCGGAGAGACTAAACGAATTGCTCGAAACCATCTCATTCATAGTAGAGTCAGGGTTTGAGCCCAGGTCTGTACAATTCCAGAACCCATTCTCTTTCTCCTACCCTTTGTCTCACTCAGTGGGAACCAGAAAAGGAACTGAGATAGAGTGGAAAAGCAAAAATAGGTATTTTTTCAACTTCTTTTGAGTCTTCATAAAAAATTTTTTTGTAAGGTGAATTCCTAGATGGCCAGATACTGGAGCATAGATGCAACCATACAATTATAAAATGTTTCTTCCACATTCATGCTGTTTTAAATATTGGAGGCTATACCAACCTTAGTATATTCTGGAAGTTCTTGGTGAGGTAGTAATACTTTTATCATATACCCTTATTTCCCATAGTAAAACAGTTTCCATTTTGCTTATGTCTACAACTGATTTCTGGTCTTGTTTTGATTTTTTTTTTCCCTACTTGATCCTGACACACAACTTTCTCCAGAGCTTTGAGTTTTTTAAATTCCTGGTAACGTCATTTTCACCAGATGACCCAAGGGTCCTTGACCACACATCTCTGAAATTATGTTAGCAGCTTCTGTGACTAAACAAACTCTGTGCTGGGATAACAGCGCGGCGGTGAATCTCATCAGATTAAACGTAAATCTGGAGCCCAGAGATTTGACCCAGCTCAGCCTCATCCATGCTACGTGACTGGCTAAGTTGCATAATTTCTCTGTGTTCAGTTTTAGCCCCCTCAGGCATGTCAAAAGTAGGATAATTAATTGTCTCAAGATGCTCAAAAATGTCCCATAATCCATGAGGATATCCGTGTCCTGAGTAGACAGTAAGGAAAAAAGCAGGACAAGATGTGGGGTAACCAGGCTGCAGGGCTGGTGAAATATTTCCTAATGAAACCCTCCGCTGCCCACCGTGATTTTGCTTTTCCCAGAAACCCGTTCTGAAAAGTTGTGCCTGGGAACTCTTGCTGTGGTCATTCCTACTAATGCCCTGAGTCACCCTCCCTAGAAACTTACTTTCTAGCATGTCTAGCACTTGGAATAAAACAAGACTGGGTGTCTTATAATGTTTAAGAAGACCTCCAGACCTTAAAATACTAGCTATGTCTCCGGGGGATGTATCTGTAGGCAGGAACTGCTTGGACATCACCCAGAAAAGATTTTAGGATGGAAGAACTCAGAACCTCTAAAATTAAATAGTGTATGGTAAACCTGTAATTAACTTGACTTTGTTATTTATTATTGAAACGTTTTTCACCTGATGTTTACTTAACAAGTACTTGCATAATGCCTGAAGCGTCTCGGGAACTGCTTTAAGCACTTTGCAAATTTTATCTTATTTAATCTTCCGAAAGCTTCTGAGAGGTAAGCCTTATGAGCATCCCCATTATACAGATAAGGAAACGGAGGCGCAGAGTGGCTACAGTAGCCTGCCCAATACCACACAGCTTGTACGTGGCAGAGATGGCACTGGAACCCAGAGCTGAGATTTTGAACCCAGATTCTTTGCGTCTAACCATTATACCATGTCGTCTCTTCTAGTTATTGAGTTATTGTGCTACTCATTGGAACTGTAATAGGTGAAAGGAAAGAGAGAGATGGACAGACAGACAGAGAGTGGGTCTAAGTGTCTCCTACAGCCTACAACCTGCTGGACACAAAGGACTGGGCTCATACCCACACCTGGAAAAAGCAGAAGGGGACTGTGTTCGGCCCTGGCTCTGGAGAGAGGTGCCTGAGTTAGGAAATCCATGCTCCTAGAGTTTGTCAGGAGAAAAGTATGACAGTGCATCTGATAGGCCAGATGTTTGCCACGTGGGTGGGGAACACAGACCTGGGATACAGGCTAGTTCCTGCCCAAGATGATGGCCGAGAGGCTGAGGAAGGAGATGCGTTCCCCACGTTCAAAGGAAGTGCCTGGGATGGCATCAGAGGTCATAGCCCTGCCCACCAATGACTCCCAGTCTGCCCAAGGCCCAAGGGGTCAGGGATAACATGGAGGGAGGATGGAATGTGGCATAAGCAGCTTTAACTCTAAGTGAACTTGAGGAATTTTGACCATGATGTGGCAATGAACATCTTAATTACTGAACTGAGGCTGTTTGGGAAGACTGGAGGATCCAGGGGATTTTTATTACCTCAGAGTGACCAGAAAAGTGTGGGATCTTCCCGCAGATTTCCATCACAGGCAGGGGAGGAACTGGCCCTAGAGAACTCATCTGAAGACGTAGTGGGACTCAACATAAAGGTTTGATTCATTATGACTCCCTGCAAGTCTGGCTTGTTTATCATAAGATTACATGTGCAAAATGCTTAGATCTGTGCCTAGAACTAGCAAGAGTTCATTTATCGTAAATATTAAATAACATTAGAAATGTGCGAAAAGACAACATTTGGGGAGATCCATGGCATTATCAGTCCTAAATTTAAGTTGAAGAATCATACGTTGATTGTTCACTATTTTATTCCCAGCACCTAGAAGGGTACTTGGCCCACAGTAAACCTTCAAGAAATACTTGTTGAATGAGTAACAGAAAGAATGTGCTAAGTTCTCCTGACAGACTTTCTTATTTAATGTTCATAAGAGCCCAGTAGGGCAATGATCAGCAAAATTTTTTAAATATGGAAAGTGGGACCTGAAAAGGTGAGTAAATCTTCCCACTCACACAGCAGGACAGAGCAGAGCAGGGAGGGACCATTCTGCCTTCTGCTGAAATCTTGCCAGACACGTACTCCATTCCTGGGATGCACACTACTCAGTGGTTGTGGTCACTTCCTCTGACCCCAGCTAATAAAGGGGTCAGAGCCGGCTTTGGAGCCACGTGAAAAGAAGGGCGCTTAATGAA